CGAACAAAAACCCGGCCTTGATTAGGTCATACTAGTAAGCAAATAAACATGAAGGCAACAGTGAACTTGTTTATGATTTAACATCAGTGTAAAAAGGAAATGAACGAATATTCCCAAATCCAGGTATGTTAAAAAATGTTTAAGGAAATAAATAAGTTATTGGAAAAGAAAAAGGACCTAAAGAGCTACTACCCTGTTCTTCAAACTTTCTGTGGTTATTTTCCTCGTTAGAAGATCACTTAATGGTAAAGAGTTAACACAGAGCTGGGAGCATCTGTATACTGTTGTTGGCACTTGGCTTCCTAGTTCAGCAGCCAGAACCACCTCCTAGGAGATCGAGGAACAAGGCAGACGGGATGTAGAAACCTGCCGGCAGGATGTCTCACACAAGTCTACGCACCACCTTCCCTGCTAGTCCCATTCCAGCTTGAGTCAGAAAAGGAATATAGCCTTTTTATTGACTACTTGAAGTAGAACAAACTAAATACATATTTAACAGTTTTGGTTCATTTATACAGTACATTAAATAAGTTATGCACAGAGTTAAGTAACAAAAGTTCCTATCAGAGTAAAATGACAAAGCACAGAAAAAAATCAACTCTACTTCATCCTGTGGGTGGTTTCACATTCATCATCCCCCTTAAAAAAAACCACGCTTGGAAGCTCAGTTTTGGATTTATTTACATTATTGGCTTTCTCTGTGGATGGAGCTTTTGTAGCCTCATCAAGAACTTGGAAAGCTGTGAAAGTGGACTGAAGGCCTCTGAGCCAAACAGCACTTTCAGCCATCCGCCTAATGCTTATTGCCGCTTCTCTCTGCCAACTCCAACGCAGGTCTGGGGCTGTCCCTGCCAGCCGCCAGCCGCACATGCCCTATTTGGTATAAGCATCAACGAGTGTACACTGGGCAGCTGTGGGTCTGACCAGATGGGGTAGCAGGGAAAGCGCCATCTCTGGGACTGTGGAGGCAAAGAGGGGAGGCAAAGGCTGCCCTCAAGGCCTCAACCTTCTCCTGGCTCATGATGGAAAAGGTTGCCTGCACCATCATCTTTGGAATTGAGCATGTCAATGCACGTGGGCGAAGAGGCAGGTGGTCAACATTTTGGTTTCACAAGAACTACAGACACTCAGAGTTGGCAAGGGCCCTATCCAACAGCTTGCCCAGTACCCACACCCACCCCAACCCCAGGACGGAGTCCCAGCAGCTGGCTGCTTGGCCCATGCTGGAACAGTCCATTTCTCTCTGGTTTTTCTTACATTTGGTTTTTCTTACTGCTACCAGCCAGTTCTCTGTAAATAGCTGAAGAAAAAAAAAAAAAAAAAATCTAAGAAAGCTGGCTTGGTCTATTGTCCCGGGAGCCTGGAAACCAGTTCTGAAGAAAGCCTTGAAGATGAGTTCTATTTTAAATGATTTACTCAATCCATAATCTCATCTACAGTTTCCAGGACAAACAGCCAGGTGGTCATTATTCATACTTTCATCCCGAAGAACTCATGACCACACAATTTCAATTGTGTTGTTGCAACTTCAAGCCCATTTGCTGTGATCTCTGCTGGAACTGCCCACAAGGTCTGCCCTTTGCAAGCAGGTGACATCACTGGGGATCCAGCTGACTTTGGGACAAGGCTGTACAACGTGAAGTGGAGACTTCCCGTCTAGAAGCTGAAGATGCTCACGTTGACACCAAGAAGTGAGGAGCTCCAGGTGGAGCCACTGGCCCAGATGTGCAAAAGTCATCCACACAGCAGAGGGCCCGCTGCAGCCAGCGCCAGGCATGGACCTTTGCCAGGGTGACGGGTCTTGTTTCCAGACTAAAATCCACTGAGACACACACAGGACTCAGTACTGTCCAAGAGAAGGTGCATTTGCTCTGTGACTTCAGGGTTGCATGACTGTGCCTGAGCAGATCTGTCTAAGCCCCATCCTGAGAGCTGCAAGGACGCCCCCAGGTGAAGCTCTCACACTCAGGAGGAGGGCTGCTCATTTCCAAGCAGGTGGACCGAACCTGAGTCTGTTTTCACCCCTGGGTGGAACAGGCAGTAGGACCCCAGAGGATGACTGAAGCTCTGAGGATCCAGCCCTAAAGCTTCCCTCAGAACATTTAAAACAGTTCCCATGCTGGCTACTTACGGTCTTCTCTGGCTCCTGCAACCATTCCTCACAGGGCAGAGGACAATGATGTGCCATTGCTTGTCACACTTGCTTTTGATTCCTAGGATAACACTGAAGAGCCCAGGACTGCTCTGACAATACCTTCAGTACCACCACTATGTCTTTTGTCCCCTTAAACTATAAAGGTTGGTCCTCTAAGCAGTCTGATTATATTAAGATACTTAAAATCTAACTAGATGAAAGGGGGAGCCTGAATTTGCACCATCAATCTGGTTATCAGCAGACATGGGAAACCAAATGGGGAACCTGGACTCACCCCTGCCCCTCCAGTCCCCTCACCCCATTCCAAGACAGTGTCCCTTCTCCTCCCAACTCCAACCAGAGAGCTGAGACTTTCAGAAGAGAGGGAGCTTGAGAAAGGGATTCTTTACATGTAAATAGGAAGTTCTGGACAGATGCCCTAGCAACCGATGCGTGAAACTGACCAAAATTAATACAGCAACAGGCTTGAGATCTGAACCGCAGTGTGGAACACTGCTGAAATCTTTAGCTTGGCCTCTGGGTGGCACATGAGCAAAGCAGTTTAGAACAGCATTACACAAATTCTGCAGATTAAGCTGTCACTGGACTCACAGTCCACAAAAGTCAGCTAGGACCTACCTGCACACTAAACCTAAACCTTAGCTGTGGAGACTGACACCAAGCCTGATGAACAGTATTCAGTTGGCTTTGGCTCTTTATTCCAACCCGAGAAAACCTGAGCTACCCTGGCTCGGCCACTGAAGACTTACAGGACACACCTAGGTGTTCATCCAACTTGCCAAGGAAAAAAGGAGCTGAGGTGAGACCCAGTGGACACCAAGAGACACCCTCTTGCTGCCACCAGATTTATAAGCTCAGTGACTGCCTCTCATGGGACATCTCTTCTCAGGGAAACGCAGGCAACTTTTATCTGGGGTTCTGATTTCATCTCTGTTAGGCAGGATACCTCAACTGCTGCAACTAAAGGAAAGCTGCACAATGAAGCAACTATTTCATTATTCTTTCTCTGGGTCTACCTCACTTTACACAGCAGAAGTCTGGGTATTTTAATGGTGCCTTGTACTGAGTTTAAGACAGAAAATCCTTGAGTAAGGTAAATTAGGGACTTACAGTTTTTATTTATTTATGTACTTGGCTGCTCCGGGTCTTAGTTGTAGCTTGTGGGACCTAGTTCCCTGACCAGGGATCGAACCCTGGCCCTCTGCATTGGGAGCACAGAAACAGCCACTGGACTATTAGGGAGGTCCTGGGACTTAGTTTTTAAAGTAAGATATACCTATACGTAAGGATAACACTACCTATGCTGATACCTTACTGGGAGCTTTCAATTCACTCTGGTCAATGTGCAGAAAATGGCCGTCTAAAGCTGAGCTTTCAAGGGTCAGCAGGAGCAGGGCCAACCAACTCATTCCTTGGTGCAAGAGGGTGCTAGAGGCTTGGAGTTGGAGAGGGGGAGGGTCAGGGTCCTTGGGCTCCCAATAAAACTTGAATGGCAAGGAAGAACGTGTGTGGCAATTCCTAACATTTTAAAGGGAGTATAGGTGATGTCATGTTTGGAGAATCAGGTAAGCAGTTGGAAAAACTCCCTGAAGACAGGAAGAAAAATTGGTCAGGCTCTCACAAATGGCTGTCACATTTCAGGGAACTTTTCTTAGCTCAAAGAGGGTATGTATCAACAAAATTAGAGAAGGGAAACAGGATTGTATGCCCAATAATAAATTGACATAGGACACTTAACGACAAAGTCTGAAGAATTCTTTCAGGTCCAAAAGGGTCGCTCAAAAGTGACCAGGCCTTGACTGGTGAGGCCAGTCATAGCCATACCACATCACATCCTATGGGTCAACTATGGCTTCAGAGGTGCCAAACAGAGACCATGGGAAGAAGATCCCCACCCAGTGATCTGGACATGCGTGGTCTGAGATAAAAGGACACAGACAAGACAACTGTGCAAAGAGCCAAGTGGTGACAAAAGTTTCTGCATTTCCAACAGATGATCCATTAAATAATGTGATGATACTAGTTTGGCTAACATGCTCAGAGAGAACAGACAATCCATAATTGAGTCTCATTCTCCCTCAGACCAATCCATGCGCTGAAAACTATTTTCTGCATAAGTAAAATCAAAAAAGAGAAGAAAAAAATGGGTCCCAAACTAAAATAGCCAGCCAGGCTGGAAAATCTTGTCCAACATGATCTGTGATGCTTGGTGGAAGTTTTATTTTTCATTACGGGTGCTTTTACTGAAATGGTGACTTCTTCCTGTGGTTTCTGAAAATCTTACGTCTGAACGGCAGGGCCAACGAGGGTGTCCTGAGTGCTGCTTTTTGCCTGCCCCAGTCCCCCGGGACTAATCAGTGGCACCTGCTGAGGGTGGAAATGGGCGCAGGGAACTGTTCAGGGGCAAGAGGAGCTGCTCCCTGTGAGAGAGAGGCCTCCTTCCCGGCTCGCTATCAGTGTCCAGGCCTCTGCTGCGGGAGGACGCTGGAGCAGGAGACAGTGAAGGGGCGAGCTGCTTCCAGCCTGGCTGGGCACACTTGACAGTCGGCTCTCTCACAAGGCAGGGAGGAGCTGGTGGTCTACATGGAAGAGTGGCTGGCCATGCCAGCTTTAGCTGGGAGAAGAACAAACCTAGAAGCCATGGAGGAGTCAGCTCCAGCCAGCGGCCATATGCACACAGGTGGGAAATGGACAAGTGTGTGAACAGGCTGGGGCTTGAACTCTTCCTGCCTCCACTTCTCTTCTGGATGATGACCCAACAGCAACTTGCACTGCTTCACATAGCCAGCCTCCCGTGTAGAGTTCTGTCGTGCTGTGAGGTTGCCAGGGGAAGTAAGTCTGGGGCTCAGAGTCCGTTGGTGTCGATGGCTGTCACAGAGGCCGGTGTGGAGGAGCGTGAGGTGGTTGCCGAGGTCTTATCCAGGGCTGGACTGGGGACGCTGCAGTCGGCGGACCGGGCTGAGGAGCCCCGCCCTCCAGGAAGCAGGGGCCGGCTCTGGCTGTGGGGACTCTGGCCGTGCAGGTTCTGGCCACAGAGGCGGTGGTGCCGCTCCCAATCCTTATGCTGGCAGAAAGAGCCACAGTATCGTGCGATGTTGCAGCCACTGCAGGTTTCGCTGGCTTTTCGGCCACAGTTCCAGCAGTTCTGCAAGACACAGGCATTGGTCAGCTGGCGGGATCCTGGGGGGCACGCTTGTCATCACGTGCCAGCTGCTCTGCAGAAGAGGCAGTGGGGCTGTGTGGGGAGAGTGTGGGCTCTGGAGTTGCACATACCTGTGCCTGTTACTGCCTGCCCTGCTGCTGCTTTCTGTTTACTTCTCTGTGTTACAGAAAAACTGCCTACCCTGGGCTATGGGGACAGCGACATGAAGGAATGTGAAGACATATCCACACATCACTGTAGGGCAGGAGCAAGGCCTGCTGAAGGCAACAACTCCTCGTTTTGACTCATATTTTAATCCTCAATGACCAAACCAAACCAAACCAGGCTCCCACATCCAAGATCACAAATGTGCTTAGACAGTTTTCTTTCTTACCCTTTGCAATGCAGAAATGATCTTGACTGTGTTCACTGACAACATCTGAAATCTTTAAAAAAAAAGTCACCTGCGAGGGTACAAGGCTGGGTGACCGTGAGTGTGGGAAGCTGTGCTACTCACTCTGTGCTCATTCTCCATTCAGTGATACATCCCATCAGAGGTGGGCTGGGGATCATGGGACTACTTCCAGTCTGTTTACAGGAGCCCCTGTAATACCTCAGATCCTAAGGCCCCAAGGTCTATGTCAGGGAGTTTTCTTCCTATTTTTTGCTCCCACACCTGCCTCTTGGTACTCCCCTCCCTGACACACGAGTGTTTTACACCTAAGGTCTCCACGACTCACTTATGGATTTGATCAGCCAGCTACGCCCTCCCCTGCAGGTTCTGCAGAATAGCAAAAGCCAATTATGAGGCCTGGCCTGATGATTAAGGAAGAAAGATGCTGTCTCTTGCTCAAGTATAAAAACAACTAATAAAAAACAACAACAAACAACTGATAAGAGCAACAAAGGACCCCGAGGCCCCCTCACCCACCTCTTGCACTGCATAGATAGATGGGACACTGAGGGCCAGTAGGCAGGACTTGTCTGAGCTTATCAAATGATCACGTGGCTATGCAAAGCCTGGAACCTGGGCCTCCTGTCTACTATTCTGAAGGGACACATTTAGTTTCAAAGAGCATCAGAAAGGACTAAAGATCCCGTCCAACACTAGAGGCTTCTTAGGAAATAATACTCCAGGGACTGCCCCAACCTTGCCAGCATCAACACTGGAGAACCAGAATCAGGGACAGAAGTCATTCTTAGGATCTTCAAGCAAGATGTATTCCAAAAAATTTCACACTCTGGTAGGCTGACTCCAGACAATGCTTTGGTCAGACAGTATTGCTTGTGGGGCATGTGCTTCATGGAGCTGCTGTGGAAACACAGGCCTCTACTTCCTCTGTCCAAGTCTGCAAGAACATCCCAAACTGGGCCAGAGGATTAAAGCAACGGTGCTTTCACCTTAATCACCACTGAGAAGCCAGGGTGAAAAGGACAATTTGCATTCTTTGTGTCTCTGGCTTTGCCCTGACTTTACCAAAAGGCTTTTTGCCAAGAAACATGATGAAAGGTTTACTGTGGTCATCACCCTTCAAATCAGCATTCCTCAAAGATGGAGCAAAGCACATGGCCAAACAGGCCTTGTAATTTATGGGGAAGGTTACAAATCTTCTGAGTTACTGGCCACGGAAGTCAGAGATGGTATTCCAGAATATCCTTTGATAAGCAAGGGCCATCAGTTTATGTCAGTTTACTACTCCAGGTGTGGCCAGGGGAACACCTGTATCAGAATGACCCAGAGCCCATCCCGAAGTTTCCTGACCTTATTTCAAACCTGGCTCAAAGGAGAAATGATTCCTATCTTATACTCAACTGCTAGCCCATCACGTTTGCCAGGAAATCTAGGCTGGGGACAGAAGGGGATCTCTACCTGAGGCATCATTCCAAGGGAGATGCTTGGGTCTGGTCTCAGAGGAGGCAGCTGCTCTGCAAGAGTAGGAGCTGCCACAACTATGTTGTTAACAATGTAAGAAAGTCCTTTCTGTCTGAACAGTGCACTGCAGTTTAAATCACCTCCACATCTGTGATCTAATCGTATCTTCCTTAGAAAGTACGAGACCAGCAGGACGGGGCTGCTACTCACCCACTATACAGGGAAGGAGCTGACCCCTGAAGGGGACTCTGCCAGAGTGAGGGGGACTGGGGCGAGTGCTCAGCGCTCCTGGGTTGCTTCCGCTCTACTGAACTACCTCTTGCAGGATGAACGAAAACTCCAGGGGGTACCGCTAGATATCAAGCAGAACTTTCTGAGTGGACTGGAGGAAACCAGCCCTCTTGGTCCAACACAAACTCACTTATAACATATGCCCTGCTATCCTGCCTTGTTTTGGAAGGAAAGTTTGCAGGGATGGATGCTAGTGTGTGCCTCACCTGCAAGTCACTTTGTGCCTTGAATATAGATATTGATATGGGTGGCTATAATGAATCCAATACCAACAGAAACAAACAGGAGAGGAGAAGGAAAAGGGGAGAGTCAGAGGAACTATTTTCTTCCAATTCAGCTGGAGAGGCTACAACACGACTTGCCCACATGATAGTTAGGCATGTTCATCTTCACTTCACCATGCTTAATACCATTCTTTGAAAAAGATTTAAGGAGGATGAGAAAATAAAATTTCTGTCATTTAAAAAACAAACCAACAACAACAAAAAAGCTCAGTTCTTTATAACCTTAAGAATATCCCAGAGTACATGGGATTTACCTACTTACAGAAACAGGCTTGTTTCAGGACTTAAAAGTTTGTCTTAAACCTGAAAAGTAACTGAAATCAAAGTTACAGAAAAATTTCATTACATTTGAAAGGGCTGTTAGGATGTTTCTGTTATGTGCCTTTTAATTATTGTTTTCCTCGTAGTGGTACAGAAGCACCACCATGTCCCAGGGCAGTCAGGCAGGCCTGCCAGATCTATCCCCTCAATCCATGAAATAACTAGCCTCTTTGTAAACGGACTGGATACTGCAGGACCCTGCATTGCCTTTCTCCTACTCTCTGGCTTCAGTGATGTGGGATTAGGTCAGTTAAATTCCCGAAATCACAGTTTCCTCACTGGTAAAGTTGGATTCCAACAACACCCACATCCCACCGTGAGGATCACAGAGACCACAAACACATTGAGCTCTGTATGTGGCACCCAGTAAGCCCACTCGGGCAGTGGTGGTCATTGCTGTAATGTAGTTCCACGAACTTCAGGGAGACTTTTCATAACGTAAACCAATATAATGAGCCAATGTGTAAGAATGTAATAACTGAGAAACAAGCCTCTCCGGAACTGAATAAAAATTATCATCAGCTAGCTCGAGAGAGGACTGTTGGCTCTTACTGCCCAGCGCCTGAGAGGAAGGCGGTGGGCCTGGTCCCGCGGCCCCAGCCCCGGCCCCCAGCGCCCTGACCTCCGTCGACTCCTCCTGCTCGTTTATGACGAGAAAGGCGTCCTCTGCAGCCTGCCGTTTGACGTCCGCTATTGTCTGCTCCATTCGAGCTCTCTCGGTTGCAATCACTTCAAAGGCTTTTTGCTCTGCCTCAGCAACAGCTTTCTGTACTTCTGACATGGCCTGAATTTTCACCTTATTCACAGCTTCTTCTGGAAGAAAGTGACAATAAAATCAACTGGCCGAGAAATCTCTCCCCTCCTACTAGACATCATTTCAAAGAAGGGACAGAGGTGAAACATGATTTTTCTTCTAAAAATACTTATGACAATGGTATTCACTTTTATTCTTATCTCCACTTGTCTATTAATGCAATCATTTGTTGGGTCTGCAGACCGAATCACTTGTTGGCACTGTGCAAGGTGCTGAGGAGACCTCGGCGACTAAGATGTAACATATTTTCACAAACGTGAAAGCATATAAGCATGGCTGAGGGGACATGATACTTGTCATTATCAGGGACAAGAATTCCAAGGGGAAAGCTGGTCAGGTCTGTAAGTGGCAGAGCAGGATCAGGAAAATGTGTCTTGGTTGAGATGGTAGGTGGAAAGGAATCTTCTAGTCTTGCATTCCACGCTAAGGAATTTGGCTCTTCTAAAGAAAATGTGAAACCCTTAACGGGTCTATGCATAATAAAAAGAGTGAGGGCAGAGACACCAAATGAGAGGCTGGTCAATAATCTGGCTGACAAACAGATTCTGAATGCAGGTAGGAGCAAGCAACACAGAGGAGGGATGAGACAGAACGAGGCTGGTGTACCTAAGGGACTGGAGGTGGAGGTAAAGGTGAAAAACGGAAGTGCTGTGCATTGGAACAGATGATGAGCAAAATGCTGCTGTGGAGGTAAGCAAGAAGGCTGAGGTGCATCCAGGTACAAATCACCAGAAGGCAGTTAGGTACAGAAGACTGAACTCAGTGGAGAAATGTTGCCTGAAGATATAGCTCTGGGAAGGTTGCTAGGTGCTCTGGGCTACAAAAACCCCAGCTGCCATTACCCCACTTGGATCCTGATCAGTTCTTCCCATCAAACCCCGCTTAGTTTCCACAGGATGTATACTCCCGGTGACACACACGCTATGCACCTGAGCCTCAGTCCTAGGTCCCAGCGTGAATGACGTTCCTTCTAAGTCCACAAGACTGGACAACCCTGAAGCCTAAGGAAACTCCCTGACTGCTTGGTTCTTGCACATGGCTGAGGCTCAAAGGGGGTTCACACACAGTATTCTAGGCTGCCAACCTAGAACTTTCCATCACATTGCTCCAGCCAAGAAAAGTTTTCACCCCAAATGTCAAGGGTAATGCTGCTAACTATTTTCATTTCCCATAATTCTACTTTACCTCTTGGTAATATAATATACACCTCCCCATCGCCAACTGCAAAGATTTTTCTGAAGTGTTATGTAGTTTTCCTAATTAGTTTTAATGGTAAGATAATATTCTGTGGTGCCACACTGTAAATTCACATAACCATTCATCGATATGTGGGCATTTCCTGGGTTGCTTTTCCCTTGCTCCAGTTCAGTCCAGTCGCTCAGTCATGTCCAACTCTGTGACCCCATGGATTGCAGCACGCCAGGTTTCCCTGTCCATTACCAACTCCTGGAGCCTACTCAAACTCATTTCCATCGTGTCGGTGATGCCATCCAACCATCTTATCCTCTGTGGTCCCCTTCTCCTCTTGCCTTCAACCTTTCCCAACATCAGGGTCTTTTTCAATGAATCCGTTCTTCCCATCAGGTGACCAAAGTATTGGAGTTTCAGCTTCAGCATCAGTCCTTCCAATGACTATTCAGGACTGATTTCTTTTAGGATGGACTAGTTGGATCTCCTTGCAGTCCAAGGGACTCTCAAGAGTCTTCTCCAACACCATAGTTCAAAAGCATGAATTCTTTGGTGCTCAGCTTTCTTTATAGTCCAACTCTCAGATCCATATGTGACTACTGGAAAAACCACAGCTTTGACTAGTTGGACCTTTGTTGGCAAAGTAATGTCTCTGCTTTTTAATATGCTGTATAGGTTGGTCATAGCTTCTCTTCCAAGGAGGAAGCATCTTTTAATTTCATGGCTGTAGTCACCATCTGCAGTGATTCTGGAGCCCAAAAAAGTCTCTCACTGTTTCCATTGTTTCCCCATCTAATTGCCATGAAGTGATGGGATCAGATGCCCTGATCTTCGTTTTCTGAATGTTGAGTTTTAAGCCAACTTTTTCACTCTCCTCTTTCAACTTTCATGAAGTTCTCCCTCGCTTATCTGCATATCTGAGGTTATTGATATTTCTCCCAGCAATCTTGATTCGACCTGTGCTTCATTCAGCCCAGCATTTCGAATGATGTAATCTGCATATAAGTTAAATAAGCAGGGTGACAATATACAGCCATGATGTACTCTTTTTCCTATTTGGAACCAGTCTGTTGTTCCATATCCAGTTCTAACTGTTGCTTCTTGACCTGCATAAAGATTTCACAGGAGGCAGGTGAGGGAGTCTGGTATTCCCATCTCTTTAAGAATTTCCCAGTTTGGAGGAATCAACCTGCCTGACTTCAGACTATACTACAAAGCCACAGTCATCAAGACAGTATGGTACTGGCACAAAAATATAGATCAATGGAACAGAATAGAAAGCCCAGAGATAAATCCACGAACCTATGGTCACCTTATCTTCGACAAAGGAGGCAAGGATATACAATGGAAAAAAGACAACCTCTTCAACAAGTGGTGTTGGGAAAACTGGTCAACCACCTGTAAAAGAATGAAACTAGAACACTTCCTAACACCATACACAAAAATAAACTCAAAATGGATTAAAGATCTAAACATAAGACCAGAAACTATAAAACTCCTAGAGGAGAACATAGGCAAAACACTCTCCAACATAAATCACAGCAGGATCCTCTATGACCCACCTCCCAGAATATTAGAAACAAAAGCAAAAATAAACAAATGGGACCTAATGAAACTTAAAAGCTTTTGCACAACAAAGGAAACTATAAGCAAGGTGAAAAGACAGCCCTCAGGTTGGGAGAAAATAATAGCAAACGAAGCAACAGACAATGGATTAATCTCAAAAATATACAAGCAACTCCTCCAGCTCAACTCCAGAAAAATAAATGACCCAATCAAAAAATGGGCCAAAGAACTGAACAGACATTTCTCCAAGGAAGACATACAGATGGCTAAAAAACACATGAAAAGATGCTCAACATCACTCATTCTCAGAGAAATGCAAATCAAAACCACAATGAGGTACCAATACACACCAGTCAGGATGGCTGCTATCCAAAAGTCTACAAGCAATAAATGCTGGAGAGGGTGTGGAGAAAAGGGAACCCTCTTACAGTGTTGGTGGGAATGCAAACTAGTACAGCCGCTATGGAAAACAGTGTGGAGATTTCTTAAAAAGCTGGAAATAGAACTGCCATATGACCCAGCAATCCCACTTCTGGGCATACACACTGAGGAAACAAGATCTGAAAGAGACACATGCACCCCAATGTTCATCGCAGCACTGTTTATCATAGCCAGGACATGGAAGCAACCTAGATGTCCATCAGCAGATGGATGGATAAGGAAGCTGTGGTACATATACACCATGGAATATTACTCAGCCATTAAAAAGAATTCATTTGAATCAGTTCTAATGAGATGGATGAAACTGGAGCCCATTATACAGAGTGAAGTAAGCCAGAAAGATAAAGACCATTACAGTATACTAACACATATATATGGAATATAGAATGATGGTAACGATAACCCTATATGCAAAACAGAAAAAGAGACACAGATGTACAGAACAGACTTTTGGGCTCTGTGGGAGAAGGCGAGGGTGGGATGTTTCAAGAGAACAGCATCAAAACATGTATATTATCTAGGGTGAAACAGATCACCAGCCCAGGTTGGATGCATGAGACAAGTGCTCGGACCTGGTGCACTGGGAAGACACAGAGGGATGGTGTGGAGAGGGAGGTGGGAGGGGGGATTGGGATGGGGAATACATGTAACTCCATGGCTGATTCATGTCAATGTATGACAAAAACCACTACAATATTGTGAAGTAATTAGCCTCCAACTAATAAAAAAATAAAAAAAAAGAATTTCCCAGTTTGTTGTGACCTACACAGTCAAAGGCTTTGGTGTAGTCCTTTTTTATATCACTGCTTCTTTAACAATTTGTGAGTCTAAATCTGGATCATTCCTTACAATCATGGATTGTAGGGAGTCATTCCAAATTGTTACTGTTATTTAAAAATTTATTTATTCATCTCTGGTTGGACTAGGTCTTTGCTGCTGTGCATGGGCTTTCTCCAGTTGTGGTGGGTGGGCTTCTGGCTGCAGTGACTTCTCTTGTTGTAGAGCATGGGCTCAGGGGTGTGTGGGCTCAGTAGTGGCCATCTGTGGACTTAGCTGCCCCTAACACATGTGGAACCTTCCTAGACCAGGGATCAAATCCATGTCTCTTCCACTGGCAGGCAGATTCTCAACTGCTAAACCACCAAGTAAGTCTACTTTTTACTATAATTTTAAAATTCGTTTTAATTCTTTTGGCTGTGCCATGCAGCATGTGCAATCTTAGTTCCCCAACCAGGTATCAAACCTGTTCTCCCTGCACTGGAAGCTCAGAGTCTTAACCACTGGACCACCAGGGAAGTCCCTGGATCATTCCCTTTTAAAAGGAAAGATTCAAAAGCATGCAAGTGAGAAATGATTTCAAAATACCCATGTGTTCCCGGGTGGTAATACTTAACAATTCATTAAGTATTATTATTCATTAATTATTAATCTTATTAACCCATTAAGAATTATTTAGTGACATTAACAGGGTCCTCTAAAATTTTGTCAATAATTAGGCGTTAAAGACTTTGGGGGCTAATTGGTGGGGGGGGGGGTGGTTTGCATTATCTTGTACTTTCCTGTCAGTGAAAATAAACATTTTGCAATAGGGTTATCTATTTCTCATAACATGATGTGTCTGTCCATTTGTTTATATTATGGTCTTGAAATTAAGTGGGTATTAATCTTTTTGTAGAAATAAATGTTTTGTTAGGGAGAAACCCCAAAACTATTAATTCCACTGAGAAAGGGAGGCAAGAAGGAAAAAAAGACTAGTATTTGGATGAGGTAATATGAGGTTGGCATAATCCCTGTCTTACCACAACAAGCAGTTCCTACCCTCCCTTATTCTTGTAGAAAATGACACCTAGAAAGAACAGTCTTTATGAAGCTAGAGACAGTGAAGGTGAAAGGAAGAGCAGACTGAACCAAATGTGGGAGTGTGAGAATACAGTGATGAGGACAGGCAGAAATGCATTAAGCTATACTTCCAGAAACGGGGCATATAAATAGAGAAGAGTCAGTTACTTAATGCCTCCCAGTAGAAGTGGGTGAAAAGGACTTGGATGGAGTGTACAGAGTCACTACAAATTCTCAACCAGCAAGGAACACAACAGGCAGTCCAGAAGCGGGGATAGTTAAAGGGGGAGAAGCAGGGGCCTAGAGCTTTTTGAAGGGGAAGTTATGAGAAAATCACCTTTTCACAAATATGTACTCTACAGTCAAATCAGTGAGTACATGTGACCCCTAAGCAGACAAGACATACCAGTCTTTTTCCAAAACTCCACAGGTACATATCCTGTTCCCGGCCTACTGTTGAATTCCCGCTGAGAATCTACAGAGAGAGAGAGAAACAGCATAGTGTCAGAACTGTCTATAATTGGCATGTTTTACTTTTGTGAAAAACTTATCCAATCTCTCATTCACCACTTAGACCACAAATAACAAATGTTGGTGAAGGTGTGGGGAAAAGGGAATCCTTGTACACTGCTAGGGGGAATATAAATTGGTACAGACTTTATAGGAAACAGTATGGCAGTTCCTCAAAAAACTAAAAAGTACATGATACAGCTACTCCATGCCTGGGTATATATCTGAAGAAAATGAATATAGTAATTCAAAAAGATACAAGCAGCCCAACGTTCATAGCAGCGTAATTTACAATAGCCAATCCTAAGTGTCCATCAACATATGAATGGATAAAGATGTGGTTATCTTCATGGTATTTCCAGAAGTCAAAATTTTCAGCTCATTTACTAAGAAAATTAGAGTTTCAGAGGCTATTAATCAAAGGTCAGACAGAGAATGCAAGTATTTGGATCAGAAGTCGGGGACAAAAGAACTGTGGTCCTATAAGAGGATGCTCTAGTTCTTAGGAGAAATAGAATGAAGCACTTGAGAAAGCGAATGTGGCAAACGTGAAAAAAGGGTGAATTGAGGCACAGGGCACATGACTGGTCACTGTGCTGCTGCTCTTTTATTACTTCTGTGTGTTTAAAAAACTTCAAAACAAAAAACTGAGAAAAAAATTGCTTTAAGTATAGGCATACAAAATTTCTTAGGAACACTAATTTGCTAACAAGTGAGCCCAGGAGTGGAGGAGGTAAAAAGTGGGATAGGGAAGATTTTCACAATTTATATGTTTCTGTACTGCTTGACATTTTTGCAATGCAGTTCATTTTTTAAAAATTCCATTAAAAAAAGAAAAAAAGGAAATGAAATACCCAAGAAAATGAAGGGGATCTAATATTCAGTTCAGTTCAGTTGCTTAGTCGTGTCCGACTCTTTGCGACCCCATGAACTGCAGCACGCCAGGCCTCCTTGTTCATCACCAACTCCCGGAGTTTACTCAAGCTCATGTCCATCGAGTTGGTGATGCCATCCAGCCATCTCATCCTCTGTTGTCCCCTTCTCCTCCTGCCCCCAATCCCTCCCAGCATCAGGGTCTTTTCCAATGAGTCAACTCTTAGCACGAGGTGGCCAAAGTATTGGAGTTTCAGCTTCAGCATCAGTCCTTCCAATGAAAACTCAGGACTGATCTCCTTTAGGATGGACTGGTTGGATCTCCTTGAAGTCCAAGCCACTCTCAAGAGTCTTCTCCAACACCACAGTTCAAAAGCATCCATTTTTTGGCGCTCAGCTTTCTTCACAGTCCAACTCTCACATCCATACATAACCACTGGAAAAACCATAGCCTTGACTAGACGCACCTTTGTTATCCAGATATTAAAACACATTCTGAAGCTATAATAATTAAGTTTGATATTACATTGTGAAGCTATCCTAATTGCTAAGCATGTATGCTGGTTCTGGAATAAACTTAATAAGCTGTAGGACTACTTATGCCAAGTTTATAACTTATTTAAGCCTCAGTTTTGCCATCTGTAGATGAATCTAATGGTAGTTCCTATTATTTCCATAGGCAGGCTTGAAAATACATGTAAAAGACTTATTAGCACTGTCAGGAACACAGTAAGAGTCCATACAGCTATTATTACCAAACGTGGTAACTAATATAGTCAGAAAGACTATAATACTTAAGACTATAATATTTAAGTATTAACAAAATCAGCATATGATAATCATTTCATTTTAACAGGTAAAGGATGGGTATCAATTGATGGTAGGAAAATTTAAACTATTTGGAGAATTTAAAGTTGGATAGCTAATATGCAAACACATAAAACTTGAATATAGATGAAATTTATTGTGCCCTGGGAAGGGATCAAGGTCAAGGAAAAACTACAAATAAAATGTTAGATTTGACCCCATATTAACTATCTCATCCATTAAAACAAAACAAGATCAAGTGAACAAAAATGCCTGTATCCATAATTCATTAATTTGCTAAGGGTATCCTAAAGAAAAAATCCCTACCTATAAAGATTTTATATCTTACTTACCATAAAACAAAAAACAAGCAAAAAACCTTTAGTTCAACAATAAGAATGGCTTAAAAAAATAGTGTATTTACATGGTGGAATACTGTAGTACAGTCATTAAAATCATGTTTATAAAATATTCAATAATGTGAGAAACATGTTTAATATGAAGTTATGTTTTCAAAGAAATCAACAGGAAGTTGTAATACAGAATTCTCAGATACATTACAAAGCTCTTCAGCGTGGGATTATGAACTAGTAAATTCTTTATATGTTTCTGTATTTTCTACAATGGGCCATACAGTTTGACTATTAAAAAAAAAAAAGAAAGAAAGAAAGAAAAAGATACCTACACTTCATGAGGTTGCTCCAAACAAAAAGGAATGGTTCTCTACTGTGGGAGACCAGGTACCATATCAGACAAATTAAATCAGAACCTCTGGAGCTGGGGCCATGGCACCAGGAGTTTTCCAAAAGTCCTTAGATGGGTTCTGAGGAGCATCCAGGATTAATGACCAAAGAAAAGTACCTCGCTTAGAACCCACTGTTCACAGTTAAGGTCTCCCAAACCACACTAGGAGCATCACCTCTCTGTCGGTCATATATAGACATATATATATATATATACACTTTCCAGCTGATTCTTTCAATATTGGTACACCTTGATCTTTCAGTTGCAGGCATTATTAATTGATTATGATTAGGCTTTTCAGTGGGAAAGAATTTCATTTTCTTTTTTTCAGCTCACCAGACATAATAAACATTTCCTTCTTCCCTTCCCCCAAATAAATATACTCAAATTCTGTTACATCAATAATTACAATTGAATTTGTAATTACTTCAAATTCAATCTCAAACTCTTCCTGTGGTGTCAATATATTATAAATTTCCTTTTCTTGAAGAAATCTCCAGCCAGCTTCTGGGCTATTCTAGTCTGAACTGTCTACTTTCCAGACTATTTCAGCCTGGAAAGTCCCACTGTTGTTTGGGATCCTCCCAAGTATCCCAGGGATTCCCTTCCTCCATGTCTTTCCACTTTATGGTTTATTTCCTGTGTTAGGGCACATCCTACCCAAATGTAGTAGATACCACAATGAAGGCTGATTGGAGGTGATTTTCCACCCTAAATTGTGGGTTATTAATCTAACAATTGTTTTGTTAGAATTCTAGGCGAAACAGTCTGATCACAGGTGGCCCCTCATTTAACTATGCCTTTGGACAGGGCACTTTTTCAGCTACTAGATGAATGCAAGGCAACATTTTTGGAGGAATGGTTTCAGGTGGTGTCCTGGATATATCCTGGATTGAGAGCTCAACAATTTTCATCTCTACTGCTTCAGGATGAAAAAAGGCAGGAAGGGATGACCCAGCTTGGTACAGTAAAACTATTTGGGTTTTTTTTCCAGGCAGAGGTTGATAAATGGTATTTTTCTAGACAGGGAGTGGGGAAAACTGGAGGGAAGCTGAGGTGATTTTTTTTTTTTAAAGAAACAAACCTTTACTGTGCTGTTTGTTTCTTTTGTTGTTGTTTTTGGCTGCATCGGGTATTTGTTGCTGCCTGTGGGTTTTCTCTAGTTGCAGCAAGTGGAGACCACTCTCGAGTTGTGGTGGGTAGGCTTCTCTGGTGGCGGAGTACGGGCCCCAGGGTGTGCTGCTGCTGCTGCTAAGTCGCTTCAGTCGTTTCTGACTCTGTGTGACCCCACAGAAGGCAGCCCACCAGGCTCTGCCATCCCTGGGATTCTCCAGGCAAGAACACTGGAGTGGGTTGCCATTTCCTTCTCCATGAGGTGAATATTTTGAGGGTTACTATAAGGAATGAATGAATGTGATGTACATGAGATGTCCCAAGTACATTCAGCCAGGCTTAATTTAACATTCAAACACTCTCTGAACAGCAACCCCTACTTATATACAGTATAGAGTTGAAAAGAGAACAAAATGACAAACATTCTCATTCTACGTGGGGAAGACAACATTTCTTGAACATACCAGATACTGACCAAGTTCTTGACATATTTTGTGATTTACTGTTCATAATTCCCAAGCTCTTTATAATTCCACAATCAAGTACCATCTTCCTTTTAAAGGAAAAGATAAAAAGCCTCAAACATAAAAAATAACAACAAGAACCAAAGATATATAAAAAGCCTCCCTTGCAAACCAGACTCTCCCCTTACCATTGCTGAGAGAATCTGCGCTTCCAGGACTGTGCTGCCTGGAGACCAACTCACTCCCCGTTTTCCTCATCTCTGTGTTTTCGTTGAATCGTCTTTTCCAGTAGTTGAGTTCTTCACGGTCTGATTCTTGGCAGCGCCGCAGGACGGCCATGGAGCGCCTTGTTTTCTCTACCATTTCCATAATGCAGTTGAGGGCCTGAGCCAGGCAGGAGGTCAGGCAGAGCCACAGGATAAGGATATTCAGACAATCAACATCGAACATCGAGGAAAGGTAAACAAAATACACAGAATAAAGGCTTAAGAACCTTATGGATTTAGCAACAGAGTTTACACTTGAAAGCCTACCTTATTGTTTCTCTTTAAATATATACACATACTTTTCTTTAAGATTTCAAACTAATATTTTTTGGATTCTTCACGGTTGAAGCAGACAGTCTCATTATAAGGAGGTATTACATCTTCTCTTCACTTTTAAGTGAGAGGGGAAACTCTCTTTTCCAGTGGGGCAGAGGACTTAAGTTTACATTCTGTGCCAGTGTACTAATTCTCATTTGTATTTAGAGAAGCTCCTTTTATTATACCAGGCCCTGTGACAAGCACCTTGTATATCATTCTAACTCCCCCTGTAAATTCAAATGTAGCATTAGTTTTTTTTAATATATAAAAATTAAGCCTAAAAATGGTAATGGGCAAGTTCCTTCAACATTTTTAGACTTGATTTTTCTATCTTCCTGCCATTGCAAAGGTAGGATGTGGCAAAGTTGGGACCTAAAACTCATAAACCTATGTTTTTAACCATTATACTACAGAGTTTCACTTGGTTATGACCTAAAATGAAAACCCTATCACAAAGATTTGGGACTTACTCTTCACACTCTAGCTTGGGGAGTAGGAGATAAGCCAGCTATTATTGCAAAGACACTGTAGCTCTGGTTAAGTTCACTTCAAGCATATGCACTCTTACTCTCAGTAATATTTAGGATGACAAGTAATAAGTAGTTAGGAAAATTATACACTGTAAAATTCTTACATGATCAAGATGTTTCCATTCATCAGCCCATTCCCTTTCTGTCAAACGGTGGTCTACCAACTCATCTTGATAGCCTCCATTTAGACCTATTAGAAATTAAATTTGAAGATAAAAGGGAAGAATACAGTAAACAGAATTTTACCAAGTAAATATACATTCATTCATAGTAGCTATAAGCACATCGTTAAGGCCAATTATTCACAGTGACTTAAAACCACAAAATGACATAAAACCAACAAGAAATCACTACACAGAATGTATTAAAAACTCCTACAAATCAATTATGAAGGATAAATAGGCCAAAAGAAAAGTAGGTAAAAGAAATAAACAGTTACATCCCAGACAAAAAAAGCAGAGATGATTTATAAACATATGAAAAGATAGTCGAACTTATAAGTAATCACACAGTGTAAATAAAATGTTCATGAAGATAATTTGACATCTATATATTGGAAAAAAGTAAACTGTCATTCATACTAAGTGTTGGCAAGGCTGTAGCACAATACAAAGACTTAATCACCATAAACACAGTTGGTGCCATACAAGCACTTGTAAACAATTTAGTAGTCCCAAAGTATTATTTGTTGCATGGTTTTGATACATATTATTGAAATTTGCAAGAATGCAATGACTGTGTGAATCAAGGGTATACTGAATTATCCACTATTTTGAAAAATCATGTCATATATGTCACCACTACTCCTGGTACCTGAATCATCAATGTAACACAACTGTGTGCATGCTAAGTTACTTCAGCTGTGCCCAACTCTTTGTGATCTGCCATCAGTCTGAATTTATAGGCATTGTGTTCATAGTGAATCTGTATTTGTCCAACCATCTGCTTACACTTCATCATATCTTTTTGTGTAGTCATGCCTGAGCACTAACATATTATAAAATACTTTGTTACATATTAATATCCTACTTTAGAATACTGATCCTAAAATTATGGCACTAAGGCAGGCTTTGCAGTAGTAGTGGTGCAGTTGTGTCTGACTCTTGCTACCCCATGGACTGTATGTAGTCTGCTAGGCTCCTCTGTCCATAGAATAGTATCCATAAATTTCATTTTTGGTGAATAAATTAGGGGAGTGTTACAGTTTATTTGTTTAAAAATGAGGGGTGGGAAATGAAGAACTATTTTATTAAGGCATATGTTTTCAAAAGAGGACTGGAGAAAATTACAGAATCTATATCCAGACTGGAAGACAAATGGTTGATTTTAAAATAGAACCATCAAGGTAGAGGATTAAAGATCTTTCAAGCAGAACACTTCAAGATGAAAAAAAAACCTCTCTCTAAAACTGATAGAAACACAAGGAAAACCTGACCAAGATGCAGTTATAGGTAGTTTGTGGCATACTTCTCTCTAATGGATTCAACTGGCAAAAAAACTTGTATGAATATAGATGAAATCAATAGGAAGTCTCATTTTTAACATAAAATGAAACATACAGAACAGCTGCTAAGGGAGGCATCATAGCATACTGGGAATATAGCCAAGTTCTCAGCATCAGACAACTGGGGTCAGAATCTTGTTTTTGCCACTTTCTAGCTATGTGATTCTGGCCACAGTTCTGTCTATTTTCATGTATAAAAAGATGTAAACTCCATGGAGCCCCATGTGTGAGGATTAAATGAGACAACCGACATACACCACAATCTAAGTACTTAAGACTCAGTAAATGTTGGCGGCTGAGAACATCACTGCTGTCACGGCCCTCACCATTCAACTACCACTGCATGAAGCCAGAGTCCTACTGTGGTTCAAGTCTATGAAAGATGACAGTGAGTCTAAGTCAGAAAGGGGACAGGCAAATGTTTTGCAACTTTTTACTCCACAGGGCAACCCACAAATGGAAATGTATGGGCAATCCTGGAAGCTAGTAGCCCTTTGGTTCTCTGCTCTGACATATCTCAGCAGAACAACTGCAAAGAAGCTTCTGAGGTAAAGTTACATGAGTACCTGACAAAGAGCTTTGTTCAAAACTCTGCACTTTGATCTAACTCTGCACTTTCTGAGTCTCTTGTAAATGTGTTATCATACCTTCATAATAGAAAAAAAAATTAATTAAAAAAATGATCTCAGGTGAGGTTTGCTAGGGGACTTTTTTTTTTCTCTTAAATATAATGGTTGCTGAGGACGCATATGCCAGGCATTCCTGGCACATGACAATGACCCAGGACAGGGGGTGGTTTTCTCTCCATTTCAGAAATGAGTAAGCCGAGGCACAGAAAGCCTACGCAACTTGCATCAGATCACATAGCTAGTTATAATGCACAATCAAGATTTAATTTCAGGTATGCCTCACCTCTGACCTAAATGTCTCTGCACCTTTTACCACATGTTTTACATCTTTGTTGCTTAACTTCTAAAACATTTCATTCTGAAATAAACTCAGACTTACAGAAATGTTGCAAGAATAAAGAATTCTCATATACCCTTCACCCAGATTTCCTAACTGTGAGTAATTTTATCTCACTTTGCCATTTTCCATTTCTCTTCTGAACCATATCAGAATAAGTAATACCCCTTTATTTTTAAATGCTTTTCACTGTGTATTTCCTAAAATGTTTAGCCCACTTCCACTCTGTGATAACAGAAACCAAGTATGAATTGAGATCAATTTCAAATGAGAATACTATAATTCTAACATTCTTTTCATGTATAATATTGTTCTATCTGTGGGAAAAAAGCAATGATGATAGTATTTTGCTTTATCACTAAGAAGGAAAGAAAACCACAAATTCAATCTGAATTTAAATCATTACCATGCTGTTTATGCCACTTACTAAGATTGTGGTGTCTATCACGAACTTCTCGATGTTCTATCATCTTGCTGGGCTCACGATACAGGTGGGAAGTTGCAATATCTTCTAAGGTGTAGTGCTGAAGAGGCGGAGGAGTAGGATGGAACTGGCCCCCAGGATTCATGAGGGGTACAGTGAGGGCAGGACTGTGCCGGGGAGCAGGGCTAATGGTACACACTCTCTTGGCAGGGGGCTCAGGAGCAATTGCGTCTCTTTCAAAACTGCTCTCTTCCCGCCTGTAGAAGGATGGGGCAAGTACATGTCTGAACCTGTCAGTAAGTGCTGGTACAAACATTTCCCAGGCACCTACTGTGTGCTACGTATCGTACATTTTCACAAACAGGAAGATGTTAAGAAACGGTTTGAGATGAGGCATGAACTGAAATGTCTTCAGGAGCCAGGCAGATAAAGGAAACCACTGATTTATCCCAGTACAAGAGGAGAGGTCAAATCCATCCACAACAAGCAGACACATCTCAATATCATGAAGCAAAGGAGAAATTAAGACGATGACACATTTTCTTACTTGACAGGACTATGGAAGATTATGGGTTCAACTATATTTAGAAATGCTGTTCAAGGTCAAATTTGCTACTATGGAGGTCAGTATCAGAAAAAGACAATTCTCCACATAGGAGGAAAAAGGCTCACATAATATACTTGTGGTTTGGAAGAACTTTTAGTCATTTGCTTCAATTGTAGCAAATTTTCCACTGTTATTAAAATGTTGCTTCCTCAACAAACCATAGAAAATAGTGTTGGATACTCATACATAAATTTCCAGGGTAAATTAAATTAATTTCAATTTTCAAAGTAAAGTGATTACACGTTTATAAGACTTCACATCAGAAAAAAATGCCTTAAACAGATTATATTTTCTGTGGTTTTGGAGCAGTGGACCCACAGAATACTAGAGAGCAGAATTTATCAGCAGGGGGGTACAGTCATTTGAAGAGTTGAAAAGCATTCTGCTGCCTGATGCTGTGACAAAGCAAAACTAGCCTTAGAAATTCTGAGTCCATACCTATATATAACCACAGTCATCCAGTTCTTTTTCTTTCACAAGAAAGGGAAAGCTCAGAGCGGTTCCAGAAAATCAAGGACAAAGAAGCTCTTCTCGGCTCACCTCTCTGGGCTGGGCCTTTTTCCATTTCCATGCACTTCCATGAGCAGCTCCGAAGAGTCGGCAGGGGACGCAATACTTGTGTTGAGCAGAAGGTGTTCATGCTGAGCCAGGTACTGGGATGGGGTCTGCTTGGCGGCCCGAGCACAGTGCAGCAGTTCTCGCTGCAGCAGAGGCAGGTTGGCCTTGAAAAGAAGAGGCAGGGGCTGGAAGGCAGTTTTCCCGGTGTTGGGCCCTACACACAATGCTCAGCACTGCCCAAGGCGTTCACAAACAGGGCGACACAAAACAAAAGCCCTCTCCTTGTCAGTCCAGTTTTCACATGACATCCATTATACTGAGCTTAATTACTGTTAACTTGTTTACTGTCCCCACAAGATCTAAATTCCTTTAAGCAAGAAATTATATTTACCTCTGTGGCCCGAGTACAGAGTCAAAGCTAGGTAAAGGTTTCTTGAACATAATAGTTTCAAAACTTAAACATTTTTGAAGACTTTGATCAGTTAGAGAATTAGTAATTCCTACATGGGAGTAGGAGGCACTCATTCTTTCTTTTCTCATTTTAAGTCCTGGTTCTCCCTTCTGAATCCTAGGACATTAGGATGGCATAAAAACCTTGCCTTCCTGTTCTCTCTTAAGAGCTGCCATGGAATTCTGGAAACAGCAATTATTCTGGCTTAGTTGGAACATGGGGTCTTGATAAACGTAGTAGGAGTGATAGGAATGGGGCAACAAGCCTTAGACTAGTTTAGTATCTGGGTATGCACAGTTATCCCACAGGCAGAATCTATTTCTTCCTGTGGTGCTCCATTGAGCACATTCCCTTATTTTGTAAAAGGATAATTATTTATGTACTGATTATTTTTCCTTCCCCTCAAACTTAAACCTCTAATGAGACAAATCATACCAAAAAACCCTGTGCACCTTTAAACTTCTTCATATTTAAAATATACTTTCCCCATATTTATTTTATTAAAAAAATTATATTTTCCCTCAAATTTGAAAACAACTCAGACTGAGCTCATAAGTCTTTATCCCAAGGGAAACAGATGAGCAAGTGAAAGAAGAGTTTAATATATGCAAGTACTCATCCCTTTACCAACAGTTAATTTAGCAAGCACCATAATTAGTGACTGTTTTAAAGCAGAAATAAATTGACAAAAACCCAAATGTTAGCCAAAAAGCTGCCAGAACAACCTACCTCATGCTGTTTTCCCAAATAACAAGAGTTAAGAATAGAGAATTTGATGATATAAAACAACTTCTAAAGTTTGCTATTTTATAACTTCAATCTTGCAGCAACTGTAAAAACTTAATTGGAAAAAATACAATGTTAGATCTCTACGCTTGTGACATGTGCCCTTTGACGAATTTTTTTAAATGCTAATTGTTTCCTATTAAAGCAAATTTCCCAAATCTCTCTGATTCTGGAGTCTTGGGGGAAATAATTATCTACTGACTCTGATATACAGAAGAGAGACCAAGATAGAACTCACACAGCTGTTTCAAGACTGAAAAAGGCATCCCAGACGGCTCTGAGAGGCCAAGGTGTCAATGCCGTCAGAACAGAGCCCAACACAGGCTGTGCATGGAGACCTGTGCATTTCCTTGCATGTCTCTGATGCTCTCATTTAAAAAAAAACCCAAACACCAGAATCAGTACTTCAGTAAGTTGACTCAACCTTTTGATGCTATTACATTTTCTTAGGAAAAAAAGAAGGTACAGAGGCATATTTATTTTGTCAAGACAAAAACTGATGATATTATGTGAGTACTCACATTGTGATAAAGGAGAGAAAATAAATTTCCACAAATATTGTATTGACAAAAGTCAAAATATAAAAAATTTGAGTTCAGGTTGTTTTTTTTTTTGGTAATAGTCTACTATTAATGAAAAGAATGAAATTCATTTGCTAGGGATGGACTGAGGATAACATTTTCAGCTTATTTGGGATTGAAAAAGTATTTCCTAGCACCAAATCGATCCCAATGTTCATCTGTAAAAATCATTCTTCTCTCTAGCCCTTGGTAAAACCATGTAGCATTCTGGATACGGGTCATAAGTTTCCAAACTGTGCTTGGTCTAGAATACAATGATGTCTGACCATAGCCTTTCATTGCCTTTGACCTAAACACTGCAATTTAACCTTTTGATGGCAATGCAAAAAACTTCCTATCTGTGAACGTGCATAAAATGACATGCACCAAAGGTTCTAGAGACTTTTCCCTTGCCCCACTGTAGAAGCAGCCAATTTCACTTTTGTTTCCATATTTTTATTTTGGCTACACCTTGTGGCATGCAGAACATAATTTCTGGACCAAGGATCGAAACTGTGTCCCCCTGCAGTGTGGAAGCGCAGAGCTCTAACCATTGGACTGCCAGGGAATTCCCTGTTCGCATATTCTTAGCAACAATCCTGATCTATAATGTATATTTTTTGGCTTCTCTCCTGAACAGGTTATAACACTTTATAGATTCCCTCATTAATAATGAATTGAATTAAATACAATTCAAATTGTGTCACAGACACAGGTTCAGTTTTAAAAAATCTTTATGAGTTATAATATCATGTTTTTAAAAAATTTATTATTTAATTGGAAGAAAACTGCTTTGCCATGTTGTGCTGGTTTCTGCTATGTAACCACTCAAATCAGCTGTAATCCTAGGTCATCACAGAGCACAGGCTTGGTGCCCTGTGTTAAACAGCAACCCCTCACCATCTATCTGTTTTGAACATGATAGTGTATATATGTCAACGCTGCTCTTTCCATTTGTTCCACTCTCCCTATCCAACTGTGTCCACAAGTCTGTTCTCTATGTGTGCACCTCCTTTCCTATCCTACAAACAGTTTCATCAATACATATCTATGCGTTAATGTCTCTTGTTTTTAAAAATTACTGTTTAATAGCACCAGAGGCACACCACCTTTACCAACTAATCGAAGTCAACACTACCAATTACGAGACAAATTAACATCTATGTCTCCTAACAGCATGCAGTGATAAATGCATAACCTCACTGTAATCATAAAGCAGCATCAGAAAAATCCAAACTGAAGTATATGCTATAAAATAACTACCACACACTTTAAAATACAGATCATAAGAGACTGAGAAGCTGTTCCTGATTAAAATGAACTGAAGGGAGACATGACAGTGTAATCCAACATGTGATCCTAAATTAGATGCAGGACCAAAAATCAGGATATTTTGTTAAAAAGGACATTTGTGGGACACCTGGTGAATATGAATAAGATCTATAGATAATACTGTATCAATGTTAATTTCTAGATTTGATAATTATACTAAAGTATTCATATGTATCATGCCTGCAGCTTATTCTAAGACATTTCTGTGGAAAAAATAGGAAGAGAATAATAATTCAGATGTGATAAAATATTAACATTCAGAGAATCTGAATTTTACTGTACCATCTTAAAACTTTTTTGTGAGCATGAAATTAATTCAAAATAAAATTGTCTTTTTTATATGTAAATTTAACTCTGACTCGCATATCAGGGAAGCACAATAATTTTAAACAATGTCCCCAAAGTTATGTTGCAGAGGGCAATTAATTCCAGAGGCCATAATTAGAAACTAGACTAAATGGGGAGGAGGGAAGCAAACCATGGCTTCCCACACGCTCTTCTACCCTCAGGGTCAGTCCTAACTGCACGGCCTCCACTGATAACACACACTCCTTACCCACTGGCCACAACCAAAAGAGTGTCCGGTTACTTCTGCTAAGAGCCCAACCATCATGTCAGGCACACACCTCTAGCCCACCCCGACTCCTGTTCCCCACCGCCCACCTGCTCCTTCTGTGTGTCATCAGCAGTGTCTGCATATAGACCACAACTCAAGGCTTTTGCGACTCTCATCTTACCAAGCAAACCTTATCTGAAAACTGCACTCACATTTTCTCTAGCAGCCTCAAATAAAATAAAGATATGAAAATGTGGCAAGCTGCCCTGATGCAGATCATAGAAGAGGGACCAGTAGCAATTCTGAAGAAATGCTGAAGATAATTTACAATCAGTAGTTATAAAAATTACCTTGAGGAATGGAATAACAAAAGGACGAAGAGGAAAGTTTGTAGCCTCTTGGAGCTTGCAATGGAATTCTTCAATTGTTACTGTTGAGTTCTGAAAAGATAAAATAACACTGTTCAACTTCAAAAACTGGACAGTGTTCTCCTAACATAAATCTGACAGTGCTGAGCCCTTTGAAATAATGAGGATAATTCCAAGAGCACTACTGTGAACCTAGATCCCTCTCAAAAGTTAACCAGATTCTGTTTCCTTTATGAAAGAAATCCAGCCTCTTTGATTTACTTCTCAACTGTCCCAAATCTGGTAAGTTCCCCATAATGCTCAGCAGCCTGGGCAAAACAGGGCACTGCATTCCTCCCATGAAGAGTGGCACTGAGGTCCCCTGTCTTGAGGGATTCACCACAAGTCACCTTAGGTACAAGTAACCAAGAGTACAGTGTATCCAGGTGTCCAGTTGAACATTTCCCAAATTAGTACAGGATATCAACTTAATGACTTGGAGCCTCATTTCTTCAGTTCATTTCTTCATTGGTTCTGCCTACCTCCTAGCATCAGTTCCCTAAATCTTCTAAGCTGAAAGTTAAAACAAAAATAGGTGCTCTTCGAGTGGTCTGTTTACAAATCAGAGTACCTCCAAGTAAGCAGACTTTGACTAGTTATGTATTCCCAGGCAAGTTTTCAGCATTTCCCCAGTATTTTTTCAAGTCTTTCTTTAAACTAGGACTCTCAGCTTCTCTAAGAGGAATATAACAATACAAATATTTTCTTCAAAGTTCACAAACTATTTTTATTTTTACTTCAATTCCTTAAAACACAGCATAGTAAGTTAAAAACAAAACATTAATCTGAATTCTTGCTTGCCTAAAAGAACAATGAGGACTTCTAGGATTTACTTTTATAAAATCAAGCGTTCAAAGATGTAACATGTACTGCACAAATTATTCATCAGCAAAGTATTACTTCTTAATAAGAAGAAATGGAAAATATACAGGTCCACCAACACAAAACTGGATTAAAAATTATAATGCATTTATTATTGCTATAATGTGTTATTATTTTATTATTAATAATGCATAATACATTAGAACACTCAGGGTGGTAGATTTGTATGCATAAATGAAGAAAGATACATATAATATACTAAGTGAAAAACCAGAAATATAGAAGTATATTCCAATAATACATTTTTGAAAATAACACACATACATTTATATAATATTTTAAGTATCTGGAAGGAAAATCACAACAGTAGTTATTTCGAGATGTGAAATTATGTTGATTTTCCAAATATAGCATACAATATTGAGTAAAAGCTAAAATATTGCTTTAGGAAAAAAGAATGTATCAAATTAAACCATGTTAAATGAAAATGTGTGAACAGCTTATCCCATTCATATAAAAAAATTCCTTTTAAACCTGAGTGCCTGATTTAGTAAATGACAGGTATATAATGCAACCAAATCTACTGACGATCAGGGAATAAAAATTAAGTGTAAGAGAAGGGGCTTCCCCGGTGGCTCAGCCAGTAAAGAATCTGCTTGCAATATGTGAGACCCATGTTCAATTCCTGGGTCAGAAAGATCCCCTGGAGAAGGAACTGGCAACCCACTCCAGTATTCTTGCCTGGAGAATTCCATGGACAGAGCAGCCTGGCAGGTTGCAATCCATGGGGCACAAAGAATAGGACATGCAGCTTGTGGGGTATTCCAGTTCCCCAACCAGGAACTGAACCAGGGTGCTCAGCAGTGACAGCATGGAGTCCTAACCACTGGACCACCAGGGAATTCCTCAGATGTGATGTCTTGTTTGACAAGACACAGGTCTTTTGTTATATTTTCAGTCTTTATTTTAGCCCCACATTCTTTCTTTCCTCCTACTATGACTAAGATCTCTTCCAAATCCCCAAGGTTCTGTTCATGTTTTTTTTTTAACTTCTCTATGTTGTATAGACTGGGTAGTTTTTTCAAGTGCTCTAGCTTCAAGTTTACTGATTCTTTCCTGTCTATTGTTGAGTCCATCACTGAGTTTTTATAATTTCATTATTATATTTGTCAGTTCTCCAATTTGCATTTAGTTCTACTTTATACCTTCTATGTCCCTACTGAGACTTTGTATTTCTTCATTTGTGTAATTGCTCACTGAAGCATTTTTATGATGGCTGACTCAAAACTCCTATCACATATTTCGAATATCTGGGTCATCCTGACTGATATCTCTTGGTTACATTTTCTCTTTACACTCAAAGATGGTCATGTCTTGGTATAAGTGACTTTCTGCGGTAAACTGGATGTGTTGGGTTCTAAGACTCCAGATTTTATCTACATATTCTATTTTTGAGGCATCCTCCATCAGTGTGCCATTGAGAACAGGAGAATCTTTGAAGCTGTCAGCTGCGGTATAATCCCAAGCTCCCCACTAAACCTCTGTTGATCTGAAGAGGAAGGAGGGATTCCTTACTGATGGGCAGTGGTGGGAGCTCAGACTCCCCACTAGGTCTCTTATGGGAGAGGGAAGGTTGTCCATTATTATTTTTTTCCCTGAGCTGGTCGACTACAATAAGAGTTGATTTTTGTCTAAAAGTTTTCTACCTTATTGAACGCTACTCTCCTCGTCGTTTGGCAGAAAGAGGTGGGTTTATTGTTCTTGTGGTTTTTGGTTTGCTTTTGTCTGTGCTCATTAGCATTTCCTTGTTACTGGCTTCTCCAGACCACAGTCCAGGATACATGATGAAAGCACAAAACCAAGGGAACTCACTGCTATGTACTTCCTTGAGTCTCAAGGTCACTAGTCAATCTGCTTTCTTCTTTCAAGAGTCTTAATTTTACTTTATGTAACTGTTCTTTTTTTTTTTGGCTGTATTTGTCAGGAGGAATAGGAAGAAGTATACCTTTCTGTTGGAGATTCCCTGGTGGCTCAGATGGTAAAGAATCTGCCTGCAATGTGGGAGACCTGGGTTCGACCCCTGGGTTGGGAAGATCCCGTGGAGAAGGGAATGACAACCTACTCCACTGTTCTTGCCTGGAGAATTCCATGGACAGAGCAGCCAGGTCCGACTCGCAAAGAGTCGGACTCGACTAGAGTGACTTACACACACCTTTTTGTTACATCTCTGAATCAGACTGGACATGACCATATCATATTCCATTAAACTGAGGTACTGTCATTTACTCAGGCATGTATAGAACATTTAGCTGGTTCAAATTTTTGGGGGCCTTATAAATACTGTTAGTGCACATTGGTTATCATTTTCTTAGGATGAACGTCAAGGAGAAATACTGGAAAGTCAAAGGAACGGTCTAGTTTAAGGCATAAACTACCTTCCAGAATGTGTATTTTCCAGATAAGCAGCCAGAGTAGAAAACATTTATCTTTACCTTGCAGTGGAAATTGCCACCCTTGCTTCCTGGTATAGCTCTGACACAACAGAAACACCAAAAGGACACAGGTGAACTAAACTCTGGCTATGGTAGCTATGTGACCTTTTCTGACTTTGCTACGCAAGCTTTCTCCACATGGAATAACTGTGCATTTATATATGCTTCCCAAAGTCTTAACCATTCCTTATGTGAATAGAAGATCAAATAAAGCTTTCATGGATTGGGGAAATATAATAATCTAAAGGTGTTAATTTTCTTCCAAATTAGACAAAGTTTTCACCAAGAGGGTAGAAAGAAAGAAAAAGGAAAGGGAAAAAGGAAAAAAAAGACAGGAAAAAGAACAGACTGGTAAGCTCAAATGCAATACGCATTAAGACAATCATTTTATCTACAAATAATGACAGATTTATCTTTTTCCAATCCTTATATCTTATTTACTAGGCTATAATGTTCAGGTTTACAGAGAATAGGCTTTCTAGCCAGTTCCTATTATCTGAGGGAAAGCTTTTGAAATTTCACCATTGGCCGGGCCGCCGGGCCGCCAGCGCCGCCAGCCCCGCCGGCCCCGCCGTGAGGAGCGGGAGTCTGGGAAGCAGCAAGTGGCTTCCTCCAGGACCAGACAGCACAGGGTGGGCTGCCGTCAGCCTCAGCAGGCCCGGGGAAGGCCTCGTGAGAATGTAGGACGGAAGCGTTTTGGGAGGTTTGCAAAGCAGACTGCGGAGCCCCTGCCTGCAGCTTTGGTCTGCGCCCTGGCTCTGGCCTTACTTGTGTTTCCCCCACAAGAATGGCTTCCCCCAGCCTTTCCTGAAGTTGGTGAGGTTTGGACGTATTAGTAATATTGTTATTTTTCTTACTATCACCATTATTTTGAGAGTCCACTGCGTATAAGCATTGGTGGTCCTGCGCAGGGCGCCATGCAGAAAGCCATGAGTTAGAAGCTGAAGGAAGGAGGACTTATAGATGCTTGAGGACTGTCCTTAAACCAGCATGAAATGTTGGAGGTTGAGGTGAAAAACATGCCTTTGATATCTTCATGGAAGACTGCATTATTTCATCCCTGATCTGGTTCAGTTCCCTTATTGACTTATTACTGTGTTAAAATGCTTGTTTAGCAGATTGTAAAATAAATTAACATGTACATGTTGTCTTGGGGCAGACTAAGGGAAAACAGGTATTCAGCCTAGGAAAATGTTGCTCGTTGGATTTCCTATTAAGTCAGTATGTCTTGGGTTTAACTTTGAAACAAATTAAAAAATTTAAATATTTTAAAATCTAAAAAAAAAAAAAAGAAACTTCACCATTAAGCAGAGGTCTGTTGAAGGTTTTCTGTTTATATATACAACTGTCATCAGATTAAGGAAATTCCTACTAAGTGTGCATTTTATAACAACAAATAGATATTAAATTTAACAAACACTTGTCTCCAAATATAGTTTCAATACCAATTACTATAGATTCCATGTTTCTGTAAGCCTTCAAAATTTCTACATTTAAACTTCATTTCCAATATTTGGAAACATAGTCTTTGGGAGATGACTAGGTCAGGAGGACAGAACCCTAATGAATGGCGTTAGAGCTCTTACAAAAAAGATCCCAGAAAGCTCTCTTGCCCCTTCCGCCCTGTGAGGACACAGTGAGAAGACCATCTATGAACCAGGAAGTGGGCTCTCACCAGACATCTAATATACTGACCTTTGATCTTGAACTTACCAACCT